TTTTATTATTTCCAAATTCAGTCTTTGGAAGTCCCTGTACAGTTGGTCCGGTAGGATCCAAGTGGTGTTGAGGGAGTGGTTAGTCTTCCTGCTTAGGGCATCCGCCACCACGTTAGCTTTTCCGTCATGGTATTGGATGTCCAGGTCGTAATCCTTTATGAGTTCTAACCACCTCCGTTGTCTCATGTTTAGGTCTTTCTGGGTGAAGATGTACTTTAGGCTCTTATGGTCCGTGTACATCTTGCATTGCACCCCGTATAAGTAATGCCTCCAAATTTTTAGTGCGAACACGATGGCGGCTAGCTCGAGGTCGTGGGTGGGGTAGTTTTCTTCGTGGGTTTTGAGCTGCCTGGATGCGTAGGCTATTACTCGGCCTTTTTTCTTTAGCACGCACCCCAATCCCTTCTTGGATGCGTCACTGAAGACCTCGAATCCTTCCTCCCCGGAGGGGATGGCGAGTACGGGTGCCGTGGTTAACTTATCCTTCAATTCTTGAAAGGCCGAGACGCAGTCGTTGTCCCATTGGAAGGGGGTTTCCTTTTTCATGAGTTTGTTGAGGGGTTGGGCTATCCTGGTGAAGTCGGGTACAAACCTCCTGTAGTAGCCCGCCAAGCCTAGGAAGCTTCGGACTTCGGTGAGTGAGCTCGGTGTGGTCCATTCTTTAACGGCACGGATTTTGGCGGTGTCCACCTTAATCCCTTCCTTGGTTATCACGGGACCCAGGAAGGCCACACTGTCTTTCCAAAATTCGCATTTAGAGAACTTGGCGTATAGTTGGTGCTCTCTTAGAGTTTGCAGGGTTATGCGGAGGTGTCTTTCATGTTCTTCCTTGTTTCGGGAGTAGACTAGGATGTCGTCAATGAATACAATGACGAAGTCATCCAAGTGGGGTCGGAATACTTGGTTAATGAGGTCCATGAATATGGCAGGCGCGTTGGTGAGTCCGAAGGGCATTATGGTGAATTCGTAGTGACCGTAACGTGTCCGGAAAGCTGTTTTCTAAATGTCCGGTTTGGCCACCTGTATTTGGTGATACCCGGATCTTAGATCAATCTTTGAAAATACCCCTGCCCCTTTAAGTTGGTCGAACAAGTCGTCGATTCGGGGAAGGGGGTACTTATTCTTTATCGTGACTTGGTTAAGTTCCCTGTAGTCGATGCATAGGCGCATGCTCCCATCCTTCTTTTTAGCAAACAACACTGGCGCTCCCCATGGGGAGGTGCTAGGACGGATGTAGCCCTTGTCTAGCAATTCTTGCAGTTGCGTCTTCAGTTCCTTCATTTCTTTTGGTGCTAACTGGTAGGGAGGTTTAGAAATTGGGGCAGCGCCCGGTACGAGATCTATGGTGATCTCGACTTCTCCGGCTGGGGGCGCCCCGGGGATTTCGTCCGGGAAGACGTCGGTGAATTCGTTTACCACTGGAATGGTTTGTGGTTCGGGGGTTTTGGTGCTGAGGTCCTCGACCGAACATATGAAGGCCTCGCTTCCCTTGTTTAGGTATTTCTTCATTTTTATCATGTTCACCACTTTGATCCCGGCTTCCCGGTGGGTCCCATGATATGATACCCTCTTACCGTTTGGTCCCCGTAGGACCACTTTTTGTTCTCCGCATAGGATTTGTGCTTGGTATTTCCCTAGCCAATCCATGCCCAAAATCACCTGTACCCCATCCAGTTTGAATCAGATTAAGTTGCTGGGAAATTCCACCCCTTGTATGGTGATCATTATATTTTCGTATATGCGGTCGCATCCTAGGATTTCGCCGGAGGCCACTTTGACCTGGAGTCGGACCTTGGTGCTGGTGTTGAGGCCGAGTTGAGTGGCAAACTCGGTTGCTATAAACGAGTTGGTAGCCCCCGAGTCAAATAACACTGTGGCGGGGGTGGCGTGTACTAGGAAGGTTCCGGAGACTATGTTGCTATCCCCAATTTTGGCTTTGCTTAGAGTAAGGATTCTTCCTTGAGTGGTTGGCGCTGTGACTTGGCGAGGTGAGGCGGCCCTGGGGTTTTTAAGGCCGCGGGTGGGGTTCATGTGATTTCCTTCCGATTTCCTTTTGTTTCCCAGGCGTGTTTCCCGGGGTTGGTTTGGCACTTGTTGTAGTTGGGACGCCTTGGCATAGGCCTCCCCGAGGGTTCCTGGCTCTTGTGTGGCCAGGGCTTTTTGATATTCGGGGTCAAGGCCTGTTATGAACCTTTCGATCCTGATCCTCTCGGTGGGTACTAGCTCGGGGATGAGGCGAGCCAGTCGGTGGAATTGTTGGTAGTATTCCGTGATCGAGGTTGCACCTTGTCTTAGGTGGAGGAATTCTTCGTATATGGTGGCTCTTAGGTGGTTGGGATAGAATTGTTCTCGTAGCCGCGTTTATAGGGTTTCCCAGTTGAATCCGGGGTCTTGTTCGTAGGTGGGTCCTTCGTGAGCCCACCAGGTATCGACCTCGTGTCTGAAGTAGAAGGAGGCCATTCTTACTTGGTGCCCCTCGGGGCATTTAGTTGCCCTGAATATCTTGTCGAAAGTCCCGATCCACTCCTCGAGGGTCGTGGGGTCTTCGTTTCCTGAGAGGGTGGGTGGTTGGTGTGTCGAGACTTGGTGGTGGATCTCCAAGTTCACGTTTGGTAAAGGCTGGGAACGGTAGTACTTAGTGCCTGGGCAATTTGGGCCAGGCGTTGCAGATTCTGAGTTAGGAATTCCTCAGTGGGAAGTTTCGGTGTTCCTACCTGTCTTCTTCTCGGTGCCATCCTGGAGTTCATAGGTCAATGTTATTTTGCGTCCTTACCTTGATGCAATAAGCGAAGGGGGGAGTTTTTTTTTTTTTTTTTTTTTTTTTTTAAGTTCGAGAGGGATAAAGTGAGGAGAGGTTATGTGTAGGTTTCACAATCTCACCGCGCGTCCTAAGATTCCTAAATCCTATGTTCCTAAGTACCTAGTGCTTAAGCTTAATGTCTTAAGGTCTGATCTTAAGAGTCTTATCCTAGGGTCAACTTTAGGCTCTGATACCAACTGTAACACCCCAGATTTTCAAGATATTTAAAACTCACAAAATAAAGGTGAAATCTCATTAAATCCCAAAACATAAAACAAGAGTGTGGGGTGCTATGCCACACCTGAGCTAGAGAACTCAGGTGCACAGGCTAATTAACTAATATCCTCAATAATGTAAATGCATAAACATGGCACGCAGGCCGAAAGGGAAACTATCTACTTCTACGTTCCAAGTTCTAGCGCGCTCCAGTGACTTATTCTTCTGTGCCTGAAAGCCAAATATATCTGTTCAGCGAGAGATGCTGGTAACCCACTCCAACGCGTTGAAATACAATACATATATATACACTACTACAAAATTACACATATGAGTAGTACTTTACACTACACCCCTTAATAAAGGTGTAGTGTATAGTTAAAACAAATAAGGATATACTACACCTCTATTTTAAAGGTGTAGTGAAAAGTAATTTTATTTATAAAAAAAAAATTAAAAAACTTTATGCGGCAACCAGAGAGAGGGTGCCGCAAAAAAATAATTATTTTTTTATTAAATGATTTTCCGCGACAACCATCTCCCCTGATGGTGCCGCGGAAAGTCAAGGGAAATTTATTTATTTCTTTAAAAAAAAAAAACAGATCAGATTGGCAAGACCACATTTCCTCTCCTCCATTCCCTCTTCTCCATCGCTAAGTCCACAGCCTCTCCTCTCCTCTCCTCCAAGCCTTGGACCATAGCCAACGCCTCTCCTCGCCATTTCCTCTCCATTTCGGCCGCCAACGTTCCGCCGCCGCCGCCCTTCCTCCGCCGATGCTGCCATCCGACGCCACCGCCGAAGCCTCAACCGCCCTTACTCATAAACTCATAGTGACGGCCGACCGCCATTACCGAACTCGACGGCGGCTCCCGACAAGGCGATAAGGTCCAATTCGTAGACAAACCTTCAAATTTCAAATCCCTAATAAGTTTTCCCCGCACAGCAGTTAGCTAAACCCTACTCCAATGGGGGAAAAATGTAGACAAACCTTCAATTTCAAATCCCTAATATGCTGTGTAAGTTTTATTCACTCTAGGGTGTTGTAGTGTTTCCTGTTTTGAAATTTTAAATGCATTTGATTCTAATGATGCGTATGCTTTGTGTTGTGTTTTTATCATTAGCTTCCTCCTAAGAAGATCCCCGCACTATAGAGAATACCAGGGAGGCTGATGAGACTGTCTGCAAACCTTTTGATGAAGAGGTTAACTATTACCTTTCTAATTTGATAGGGGTCTGCTATGTTTCACACTGAAATGAATAATTCTTTTACTGACCTTGTTTAACCATTGCCTTTCTAATTTGTGGAGTATTTTAGAGTTTCTGTGCCACATATTAGCTTCTTATTTTTACCTAACAAAATAAAGTGTATTTATTTCTAAGTTTTATATAATCATGTGATTTTTCAGATTGTGAAATATGCAAAAGGAAGGGATTTTACTTCCATTATCGTTGTACACACTAATCGTTGGGAACCAAGTTTGTATTCTGAGCCATATTACTTTTGTTGCTTCTAATTTTAACTCTTCATATGTTTCTACTGACTGTAACTGCTGTTCAATTTTGATGCTTTTTATTGATTAGTTATTTGACTTTCTTTCCCCCAATAGATGCTCTACTCATCATAGGGTTACCTGATGGTCCTACAGCTCATTTTAAGCTCTCAAGACTTGTCATGCGGAAGGATCTCAAGGTGGGATAATAAGATTAAATAGAATGGTGGTATTGATTAGTTGTGGGCATAGGTAGTTAGGTGGTAATGGTGGTAGAGGTGTTAGTGGTCGAAGGTGGGCATACACACACATAGGAGGTGGTGGTGTTGATCATGAGTGAAGCCTCATGTATGTTTTTTCACTTGAAAATTTTTAAAGATATCTTTAGAAGCCAAATTATTGAACATGTTTCATATCTGTATAAGTTCATAGACAACTTTTAGACTCATCAGACTGGACTTACTTTAATATAGTGAAAGGCAGTTTATTATGGCAGCTTGCTGATCTGTTTTCTTGCAGGTTCTGGATGGATGTTTTATTTTGTAATATTCATTCAAACAGCCATTAACACTGGAATTAGCATAGGAGCACTTTTGCTTGCTGGAGAATGCATCCAGGTATACAGTGTAGTCTCTTTATAGGATATTAATTACTGACTTTATGCTCTTAATGGAGACCTTTTAAGTGATTACCATGGGTTACTTTGTCTATATATAGTTTCTCAAAAGTAGTTCTACAGGAAATACTCATGCACAATGGAACATTATGTAGCTATATTGATTTTAAAGCCCCGTTATATAGTGATTTTAATATAAATATTTTAACTGGTCCATTGTTCAGATTATATGATAGAACACAGCATGCCAAGTAAATAAATGAAGCATTCTGTAGCTCTTTATTCTGTAACTATATTGATTCTAACGGCCTCTTTTGTTTTGCATTTGGTGGTACAAGATCGTGTACTCGAACCTTTCACCCTATGGGTCGTTGAAGTTGTATGACATCATAGCAATAGTAACGGGAGTCCAGATAGTTCTCTCGCAGTTTCCATCCTTCCACTCCCTCAGGCATATCAACCTGGTTTCGCTATTCCTGAGCTTGGGCTACACTTTCCTTGTAGTTGGTGCTTGCATTCGTGCTGGTAAATCCTTTGCAGTAATTGTCATTTAATTTGTATTCTACAAGTTGTGTTTTACTCTAGAATAAATGGGTTGTTTTAGATGATTATTGGGCTTTATTCACTAATTAATTGGTTTGTCAAATCCTAACTGTCTTGTGATTTATTGTTACTGAGCAATCTGAGAAGATACCAATCCTTTCTATAGCCAAATAATATTTGTTATTGCAAGTGACTGTCATTCTAGAAGCATTATAGCATCTCATCATTAATATTCTATTTGGAATGAATTTAAGTCTTTCCACTTTGTTCTTCTTAATTAGTAAATGATTAGACTTCTTCCATCATTTTTTGGGCTTGTTAAAATTGACTTGAAACTTGTTTGGCAGGTGACAATGATGTTTGTGTCTTCGGAAAAAAATTGCTCAGGCTGACCCAAAATATGAAGATATCAAGATTTTGATTTTTTTTTTAAATAATACTTTCCGCTACACCCTCAACGCAGAGGGTGTAGCGGAAAGGCTTGATTTTTTTTTTTTTTAAATGACTTTCTGCTACACCCTCAACGGAGAGGGTGTAGCGGAAAGTCAATATTTAAAGAAAAAAAATTAATATCTTTAGCTTTCCGCTACACCCGCTATGGGTGTAGCGGAAAGCTAGGCACTTTCAGTGACACTGGATTTCGCTACACCTGTACAGGTGTAGCAGAAACACTTTTAAAGGTGTAGCTGATGTGGTTTTTTGTACTAGTGATACATATATACATAGTTATATGAAAAGTCATTTTGCAGCATGAAGATATATCCTACGAGACTCTAGTTTTCAAATCAGGGAACCGACTGGACAGATAGGGGTACACGCAATCAATAGTCATAATCAAGCATAGACAATTCTCACATAGGGAACAGTTATAGATAAGCACAACCAACGATCACAATTAAGCATTACTAGTAAGAGTCCTATGGTCACGTTTCCATAACAGTCACACCATCAATTCTTCTCATCTCATCACATAGCACACTTTGTTGGCGCCACAGGACCAATCGCATGCCCATACATGAGGGTCAGCGCATATAGCTCTGACACGGCCCCGCAGCACCCTGCCCCGTCTCACATTACGGAGGAGCCGATCGCAACCGACTAATGAACCGCAGTTCTATATAATATTTATATACCTGACCGGTCTCTACCAGCCTGGTTAACAGTTGGGATGGTTCTCAGCCCATTCAACTGCCCGTATAGTGGACCTTTGTCCTATATAATATTTATATACCTGACCGGTCTTTACCAGCCTGGTTAACGGCCGGTATGGTTCTCAGCCCATCCGACTGCCCGTATAGTGGAACTTAGTCCTATATAATATTTATATACCTGACCGGTCTTTACCAGCTTGGTTAACAGCCGGTATGGTTCTCAGCCCATCCGACTGCCCGTATAGCCCGATTGATCTCAACCAATCGGGGTAACATGCACACATAACACATAGGAAGCACATGCAACCCATATTAACACATTGGGAAGGGGGAAAACGTATAACGAAACCTATGCGTGGTCATCCACAACTAGGAATACTCCTAAGGGGTTCATACTTCTTATACCTAGGTCAACGGGATACCAATTCAACTAGCATGCAATATATAAGACTCATACAACCTACGAACGGTACCCGAAATATCAAACTAGACATAGGCACGATAGACGGAGTCCGTTGGCACACCACGGGGGTCGGGGAAACATCAAACGGGGAAGCCGAAATCCCGAGGTAGGGTGTAAACCAGCGGGTAGCCGGTGGGTGAGTGTTCACCCGCCGGCGGCAACTGTTCCGGGCAGCGGGTACCCGGCGGCCCGCTGCCGGTGATGCCCAAATAGGCCGCGGGTAGGTGGCGGGTCCCCTACCCCCACCTACGCCCCACTGACTCTTTTCATCACAAAACGCCCCGGGAACCTTCGTGGAACCCGGAACCATGCTTAGACACTTCCGAACGCAATTGATAACACACATAGACAATTAACGGATCAACATCAAGAAACAAACGGCACATAACCTATCATGCTTTTCTAAACATAATAAACACCCAATCATGCGAAATCCCACCCAATATACCAAGAATAATACCATACGAATTCCATGATATAACCTAGGGTTCTAATTATTTTTAATCAACAAGAACACAATTCATCTTCCCGAATCAAGATTCGGTAGGAATATCACATAACTATCAAGAGCCTCATATAATCATTAAGAACATCAAGATCACCATGTAATTATCAAGAACATCATTTTAATCATCAAGAACGCCATAAATATCAAGAACCCATCATCGTCAAGATCATCAAGAACATCAATGGAATCATAACACCAAGTATCAATATAACGAATCATCAACATACAATAATATGGGGGATCCTAAGGGGGAATCATAACTATGAAAATAGGTTTTGTTGAGACATGGGTTACCTCTTAGCCTTAATTAATTCCTCGGCTATGAAGGGTCTTTCTTTAAGCTTTCTTGCTTTCTTGATTTCTTCTAGGGGGATTCTTGGAGCTCTTTGGGGTGGCGGGCGTTATTCTTGTGGTGGGGGGTTTCTAGGTGCCTCTTAAGTCCCCTATTTATATATTTAGAAGTCCTAGTTAGGAACTAATATTATGGGCTTGCTAATTCTATTTCTTTTGGGACTAAGGATTGGGTTTAGGGATAAGGGCCCGTGGACTATGGTGGGCCTTCCTAATTAATTATTGTGATTTAATTCTTTCTTTTGGGTAATTGATTAAATGATTTAATTGATCTTAGGGGTCGTAACACGGGGTGTTACACTCTCCCCCCTTATCGGGAAGCTTCGTCCCCGAAGCTTGGTCCATGCCGAGTGACTTTCTCTTAGTTACCTGGTTTGAAAAGTTCGGGGTAGCGTTCCCTCATTGTGTCTTTGAGCTCCCACGTTTCTTCCTCGGTCACATGGTTGGTCCAGAGGACTTTCACCATTTCTATGGCTTGGCGACGGGTGTTTCTTGTCTTGGTGTCCAGGATCCTCACGGGTCTTTCTTGGTATACTAGTGACTCGTCGAGGTTCACGACCTCGGGTTGAAGCACGTGGCTCGGGTCGTGTATGTATTTCTTTAGCTGGGATATGTGGAATACGTTGTGTACTCGTTCTAGTTCAACGGGTAGGGCGAGGCGATAGGCTAGGTTCCCAACTTTTTCTATGATTTCATAGGGGCCGATAAATCGAGGGCTGAGCTTTCCTTTCCTTCCGAATCTCATCACCCCTCGTGTGGGCAAGATTCTCAACCAGACCTTGTCCCCGGTGTTGAACTCGGCTTGTTTCCTCTTTAGGTCGGCATAGGACATCTGGCGGTCCTGGGCAGCCTTCATCCTCTCCCGGATGTGCTTGACCTTGGTGATTGTATCTTGTAGGTGTTGGGGCCCTAGTGTTATTGGGTTAACCATGTCTTCCCAACATAAGGGGGTTCTGCATTTTTGTTCGTATAGAGCTTCGTAGGGTGCCATACGAATGCTCGCGTGGTAGCTGTTGTTGTATGAGAATTCAATAAGGTCTAGGTGTTCCTCCCATGTCCCTTGAAAGTCCAACACGCAGGCTCTTAGCATGTCTTCGAGATTCTGAATGGTCCTCTCGGTTTGGCCGTCCGTGGTGGGGTGGAAAGCAATGCTTAGTTTTAGTTGTGTCCCCAAGGCTAATTGCAGTGATTTCCAGAATTGTGAGAGGAACCTGGAGTCTCTATCGGATACGATGTTTCGGGGAACTCCGTGATACTTCACTACTCGGCTCAAGTAGGCTTGGGCTAGTTGTGTCATTGTCCACGTTTCCTTCATGGCAATGAATCGCGCTGTTTTGGTTAGTCGGTCCACTATGACCCAAATCTTATCCTTGTCGGTCTTCGTTGGGGGTAGTCCTCCGACGAAATCCATGGATATGGAATCCCACTTTCCTTGTGGTATCTCATGGGGTTGTACGAGTCCATTGGGCTTGCATCGTTCGGCCTTCAGCCTTTGGCAATTCAGACACCTGGCCACGAAATCCGCGATTTCCTTTTTCATGTTGGGCCACCAAAACGACCTTTTTACATCTTGGTATAGCTTGTCACCCCCTGGGTGAACTGAGTATGGGGAGTTGTGTCCTTCCTCCAAGATTTGTTGTTTCAAGTGGGGGTGCGTTGAGGGCACGCACCACCTACCTTGGTAACGGAGACTGCCGTCTTCGTGTATTTTGAAGGGTCCTTCCTTCCCCTGGGTTAGGTCGAGGCGGATTTTATCTAGTTCCGGATCCTGCTGTTGCCCTATTTTGATTTCCTCGAAGAGCGTAGGTACGACTCGTGTGTTGAACAAGTGGATGTCGGGGTGGTTTTGACCTTGTTTTATTATTTCCAAATTCAGTCTTTGGAAGTCCCTGTACAGTTGGTCCGGTAAGATCCAAGTGGTGTTGAGGGAGTGGTTAGTCTTCCTGCTTAGGGCATCCGCCACCACGTTAGCTTTTCCGTCATGGTATTGGATGTCCAGGTCGTAATCCTTTATGAGTTCTAACCACCTCCGTTGTCTCATGTTTAGGTCTTTCTGGGTGAAGATGTACTTTAGGCTCTTTCTGGGTGAAGATGTACCCGAAACATCAAACTAGACATAGGCACGATAAACGGAGTCCGTTGGGACACCACGGGGAAAGGGGAAACATCAAATGGGGAAGCCGGGATCCCAAGGTGGGGGAATTTCCAGCGGGTAGCCGGTGGGTGGGGGGCCACCCGCCGGCTGCCCGCCGGAGTGTACTGTTCCGGGCAGCTGCCCGCCCGCCGGCTACACGCTGCCGGGCGGTGATTCTCGGCCGTGGGTAGGTGGCGGGTCCCCTACCCCCCCACCTACCCCCCACTGACTCTTTTCACACAATAACGTCCCGGGAACCTTTGTGGAACCCGAAACCATGCTTAGACACTTTACAACGCAACTAATAATTAACACGTAGACAATTAACGGATCAAATACGAGAAACGACGGCACATAACCTATCATGCTTTTCTAATATAATC